AATACTAGCAACGGAAAATATCATGTCGGCCGTTTTTATGTGTGATATGTGGAACACAAAAAATCAAATTTCAGTCTTATTTTACATTTTTTTCATTCTTAGGAATGTCTAAATTCAGTTAAACTAGCAATTCCGTATTATATTTATAAATCTTTATAACATTATACAAAAATTAGATTTTTCTTAAAAATTGAAATTTTGCCGGGAATGGGGCTTTAAATACTTCTTACACAATTTTAAAAATAAGATAAGAAGACTACTTTTTCCAATACAGGATTTAGAACGTAAATGTTTATTGTGAAACAAACATTTTAATGCTACTATGTAATGTTATCTCTAAAAATATAACTGGGATAAAATTAGCAATACCCACTAGGTGACTGTACAAAACACAGAACTTGCACATTATGAGTTCGCTAAATACCAGTATTAAAATATGGAGGTATGTAAAAGGTCTTTGCTTAAAAGAGAAATATTGCAAATAATATTTTAGTTATTGCAGAAATGAAGAAACAATACTAAATAGGAACTGACAGCCCTACATTTTACTTTTTTACCAAAATAACTTAAATGTTAAGTTCCAATGGAAATATATAGAGTTAGGGCAAGGAAAAATGTTATTATATTTACAAGTTACAGAACCAAATATGTAAATATACTTGCACAGTAATATTGAAAAAAAAAACCAGACATAATTATAATGCTACAAATGTACATGTTTAAGAACCAGTTTATGTAAAAAAACAATAGCACGGTGAAAATAAACAATAATTTAAGAGCTGTCTTGGTTTAAATGAGATATATTGAGAAAAAATAATAAATATATATTATTATGAATAATGTCAGTTAATTCTGACGAAGCGTGAAAACATTACCAAGTATATTTCCTTGCTAGCCTAGCTAGCCTAGGCCCTGGCCTATGCTAGTTCGATTACAAAATAAATAATAAAATCGTTCGCAAATAATAGGCCTCATAGGCTATGACCCTACCCTACCTAGCAACGCTAGACCTAGGTCCTAGCCCGAAAAAGTACACCGGTCCCGCCGCCAGGCAGTATCATGAGCATGTGGTGAAAACAAGGGTGAATTTTCTAACTTCTTAAATTTCGTGAATTCTTCGTTGCTGGCCTTGAAGCAAAAAAATCGGTTATCCTTTCTCGGTGCTTCATCCTCCTAGGCTATTTTTGGCGTGTCGCATATCCTCGATCCCAGAAAAATAAAAAATGTCGAGCGCCCAAACTTTTGTGATGATGTCGTGCCAAAGTAAATAAACTCCGGAGCACGCGATTGGTCAAATAGCGTAGGCAACAAACCTCTCATTCATTTTTAAGTCTTGCTGGTTACGTCATTCAGCTGGCTGCAGCTATGTTTTGATTTCTACGATCGGACTACGATCGATAGCGACAAAAATACTCCCATTTTCTAATAAATTGCACTATTTTGGAAACAGGGGATAATTTTCTGGCTGAGGGGTTCACTGGCAAAAGGGGGTTCGCTGAAAAAGGGGGTTCGCCCCCACCCCTAAAAACCCCCCTGCCTACGGGCCTGCATCACCACAATTGGCTCATGGACGGTCTAATTCTCAAGAAAAAAAAATCAGATCTGTTTTAAAAATACTTCTGAAATTAGAGGAGAATGCATTTCAAGGATCTAGGGGAAAATATTTTCAGGGGCATGCCCCTCTAGGGGTAGGAATTTTAATAGAACTTACAAGTCCCATGCTTGCAAATTCATAAAAATTGGAATCTAATTGAAACTCAAATGATGCTCAGATTGAAAATAGACAATAATATTGTTAATTGATGGGTCACGTCTTGTTGGTGATTGATAAAAACAGAAAGTTTGATTTCTGTAGTTTCTCTAGTATGATATAGGTTTTTTACACACAATTTTACACCAGGGTTTCCCCGGTCAGAAGCCCAGCCATCCCAAGATATGTTAGAATGAGTTGTCCAGCCAATTTTTATTACAATACTTTCAGCAAAAAAAAAATAAAATCAAAGACTGGCTTTGAATTGGCATGTATTGAAAAGTTGCTGTTTGATTGGCGGTGCCTGCTACAGGTGAACATGTCAGGTTGAAAAGGGTCATATTGTTTTTGAATTGAAAAAAGGATTCCCTGGGTATGCCTGTGTACAGTACTTTTAAAAATGGTGTGTTCAAGGAAGCTAGGCTCTTACCAGGAGTAACTTTGGTGAATACAGTACAGTGGAGGGAAAGATCATGACACTGTCTCAGGGCATGAAACATTCGTGAGTTTGATCCATTCCTGTTAGAATTACACATACACACACTTTAACACAAAACTGTAAAGTAAAAATAGTTGAACAAAAACATGAGAACAAGAATTTATCTTTGCTTATGTTTAACATTATTTATAAATAGCATTTGTTTTCTAACAAGGCCATTGACAAAAATGTTGTTAAAATTTTTCTGACATATTAATAATTTAAAATTCCAAACCAAATTTCTGACACGTTCATTCCAAACCTACACATAATAGTGTAGGTGTTTTGGTGGATTCACGCTGAATACAAATTTTGCATCAGAAAGGCTACCAAACCGATCAGAAAACCGTAGCAGTACCATATTTTCACGTATAAAGACGAGATTTAAAATGGCAAATTACAACAAATAAACAGGACTCTGTCTTATGCGCATCACATACAAATTTTTTATTTTTTAATCATGTTTGGTTTACAGAGTATGTGCTGGTTGTCCGTAACATTCAAATTGACTACTGAAATGATGCTGCTAACTGTATGAATGAACACAATTTTAAATGCGGGGAAATAAAGTTTTCATAAAATTTAAAAGGCCCATAATGGTATCACTTTAAGATTAGCCCCCTTTTGGACATCTCTGGATTCGACCTGTATTGTAGTAATAAACTAACTGGGTATACACTGTACACAATAACACTAGACTGGATTTTACAGTACTTTAAAGCCCTAAAATAGAAAAAGATGCAGGCATTAATCTATTATAACCGTGGAGAAATATTGGCATAAATGAAGAATGATTTTTTTAAATAAATTTGAAATAATTCCAATGAAATAATGTATTTCACAATTGTCAATACTAGCAACGGAAAATACTGTATCAGGTTGGACATTTTTTTGGATGATAACAGAACCTAAATCAAGGAAAGGCTAGACCTAGCTGCTAGGCTAATGTTTCTTCGCAGGCCTATCGCAAAATCAAACATAACAAATTTATCTTGTATTTTTTGTGTGAAACAACAAAACAACAAAAAAATCAAATTTCAGTGTTATTTTACATTTTTTTTTCATGTTTAGGAATGTCTAAATTTAGTTAAACTAGCAATTTCGTATTATATTTATAAATCTTTATAACTAATTTTTCTTAAGAACTGAAATTTTGCCGGGAATGGGGCTTTAAGTGTTGAGTGATTTACTTAGTAATTATCCAATATCAACTTTTAAATTACATCCAATGTTAGTACAGCATCTTCCTGACTTTGTATCATTATTTAATCCAAACAAGTGAAATATATTGGGTTGAATTAAACATTAGCAGCACTCAAAGTCAACTAAAGAATGCTGTTCATCCATTTCACTGCCAATTGAATAATATTTTTGATGTGCATCGGAACATACCGTTAGCAAATGGGACTTCTAATAATTATAGTTGAGGACATGCACTGCTGTATATAGTATCCTGTTGTATTTTCAATTTCAAATATTTCATCCTGTAGCAGAGAGTTACTATATTAAGTTCTGACTAACTGATTGCTATCACGTAATAATTCTGTCTGTTTTTTAACATTTGTTTACATTTCTTAGCCCTTAACATATATACATTATGGTTTATGTCAATAATACTGAATAAAAGACGAAAGTCAGTCATCATTCATGTTCAAAGGTAAAGTATTCATAATGCACTCAAAAGTGTACGTTGGAATCTTCCATATATATCTAGGTGATTTATTAGAATTTGTGTAGCATCAAGTGTAGAACTAACATCACCTTCTGGTATAATTTTCATCTGGCTATCCTAATCTTATAATGGATTTTTCAGTTTTGAATCCTGTTAGTTGGGTGTATCATTTGAATTTATATACTGTACAAGGCTGCTTCCAATCGGAATGGAAGAATTTAAACATGAATGCACAAGCTTAATAGATGCAATTGTTACGTTGATTTTCGTCTTTTGTTCACAGATCATGCCAACTAATGAAGACTCGTGGATGAATAACAAATTTAATGAACAGATGGTAATTACTGGGAAATGCTGAGTGAACAATATTCCGATTATAGGTGGCTGTGGTGTAGGTTTTCTGGTGTGAGCTGGTGAAACATTGGGGTGATTATGGCGTTCGATGATGACATTATCAAGAAGAAGACTCCACTGAAAGTCCTAAACAAAAGTCCAAATTATTTCAGACGAAATACCTCAAGTCAGCCACAGAAACGAAGTGCGTCAGCTGTAGAACAACTATTCGAAGGTAGGGGAGAGAATAAACTTGTAACAAGTGGAGAGAATCATATCGGTTCTAATGTATTGAGCCATAGACTTGAATATTACAATAAAAATAAAAAAGGTCTTCTCGATGGCAGCAAAGGAGTGCCCAATGAAGATGACAGGCATAAACAAATTCGGGATGATACTTGTATATTTGAGGCAACACGAAGGAGCAGGAGATCTGAAGAGCAACGGGAAAGGATGAAACGTGCTAGGAGTGTTGAAAGGCCTAATGTGAAACCAAGATTTGTTCTGACATTGTTTCCATCGGATGAATCTTTAGATGAAAGTACTAATGATCCTAGCGAACAAAGTAAAGGAGATAGTTTTAATGACATTCCAACGGGAAGGGTTCTGAACCGGATAAGTTTCTTCTCGAAAACTGACAGAAATGTTTCCAAGAATTCAAGTGCAATTAAATATCAAGACCTTCAAAAGGTACCCTCTCAAACACCTTGCAAAATTGAGAATTATAGCTCCAAGCCTCATACCCACCCGGAGAAACCACCAAAACCACCGAAACCAACAAGTATAAAAATGAGCCATGGTAAAGAAAACCAAAAAGGGGCTAGCAATATCACATCTAAGGGAATTCAAATCCAAGAAGAATCAATCAAATTGGGCTCTCAACATGTTGGACAGAAAAATAATGCTTACATTAGCTCTCAAGAAAATAACAATTCATTTGATGCTGTCAATCAAGAAAAGCATGTTACTAGAAGAATCATAGAGGCAAAACCTCTTTTATCCCATGGTAGCACCAACACCATGCCATCAAATAGTGAAGGATTACAGCAGAAAGCAGACATCGGAAGACCTGTCAGAGACAAAAGTAAAGTTGTTATTGGAGTGACTTCCACTGAGCTTTTAAAACCGAAAAAGTTAGACATCGAAAGTGGTGTTGGCAACAGTTTACTTAGTAGTGCAATGAACAGGTTGGCAAATAATGAGAGCAATGCAATCCCTGCAGTATCCATTGGCATTTCCCATAATATGGATAAGCCCAGTTGTGCTGAAAGACTCGGTGTTGGGGTCCAAACACATAAGCAAAAGAGTGATGGTGAACAAAAGATGGTCATGAGTCGTAGTTTCCACCATTTTCCTTCAGGAGGAACCATCACTGATAAGAAGAGAGCGGACTCATCTGAACTGTCCACTAAAGCAGCTTTTGGTTCCAGAAGTTCTGAAGGATTTGTCAAGAAGCATGTACGACAAAGATCAGCACCTGATGCGAACATCAGAGCATGGTTGAAACAGGAAACCTCTCCACAAATGACTACAGATATTTCTAAGGTCTCTAGGAAAGATGATAACCGCATACAAGTTATATCACAACACAACTCGATTCACTACAAACAAAATTCAAATCCTGAAGTGTGGGAGAGCAATTTAGATGTCAATTCTAAGCATGAAGTCATATCATGTGCCAAGAAGCTTGGTGTTCAGACCAGTGAAACACGATTCTTACGACATTTGAGGCCTGAGAAACAAGAACCAAAGGCAATTGTTAAGCCTCAGGATCCATCAATTGTGATGGCAAAACCAGCAATTCCAAAAAAGCCCAGTAAAAAGTTAATCGTTAAGAAGCAGCTTAACGACAGTGTATTAAGGAAGGTAGAACATAAAGATGATTTAAAATCTACACATTTAATTTTAAAGAAGAAAAGCAAAGCAGGTCAGCCTCTCCAACCTAAGGACTTACAAAATCAAAGGAATGACTCTGAAAGGACTGGAATCAAATTAGCAGCTGATACAAAATCCTACAATAAAGGAGAAGAATACACAAACACACATGGACAGGCTATGGGCCTGGATGGAATGGCATCCAGTGTAAAAAATGAAGATCAAATCAAAATATCTGTTCATGGTAATGAAATATCTATATATAAGCATGATGAAGCGCATATTAGCGCAATTCCAAAGCTTTCATTTGGACCAAGCGCTCATCCTTTTACCAAGAAGTATAAGCCTGTAATATTTCACCCCAGGAAAAAGTCTTCCATTTCATCAGATAGTGTTTGCTCAGAAATATCCAAATTGAATGTTGAAAATGATAAACAGATGGAGAATTTAAAACAATTACAAAGGGTAGGACGTGAACAGAAAGAGACATCAGTAGATATGTTGAATCATATGCAAAGCAAGTTTCATTCCAGCAGGTCAACAACCTCCCCAGTACAGGAGATTCAGACAGCTGTGAAATCAATTGGTGATATTGATGATGGATATGATATTGGTAGAAAGATGTTGAGGTCAAATCCGGGTAACATGCTTGGGGCTAATGAGCTAAAATCCAATCAACTTAATTATGTTATGAACCCTGTAAAGATACCTCATGAACAAAATTGTAGTGAATACCAACAAAATCATGGCCAGCCTACTCAAGTTTTTAATGAATATTCATTATCCGGGTCTGAGGTAAATCAGCTAAGCAGTAAAAGTAAGTCATCCATGAAACCACTTACTGCTGGTCTCAGACATAGACCTTATGAATATTCATTATCTGTGAGCACTGATTGGACAGAAAAGGGCTACAAGCAATTCGGTAGTGTGGCTCCTCCCACAAGAAGTCAAGCAAATCCTGAATGTTTAACTGAAAGGACAGATGATTGGAGGACTCCATCTCATGAATATTTATCAGCAACCAGTAAGCCATCTGCTAGGAATTTACTGGTATTTGATACTGTTAATGTTCTTTCAAGTGTGAATCAGGAAGGAAGGATAGAGCAAAGCCCATCCAGAGGCCAGGGCTGTACTTCAACTGCTGAAGTTTCTAGGCCTATCTATTCTGCCTACCCATACCAGCATAAAAAGTCCTATAGTTCTATAAGCCAGACTGAATACGAACAAGAAATCAAGATGGACCGTTTTTTCCGTCCCGTTGTTAAGCGTGTCAACAGTTGGAATGATCATGTTTCTAGGGAGCGAAGAAGGGAAAAGGACTCCAAAGAACTTTATAAGAAAGCACTTAAAGAAAATAAACAAAAACTTCTGAATCAACAATATAAAAAAAGTTCAACTTCAGGGAGAGAAAAACAGGACAGTAAGTTTCCCAGTCAAGATGGTGAGAGCAATGTGCAATTTTGTAACACAAGGAATGTTGATAATACACCCACCGCTAAGGAATTACTAATCATTCGGACTGAAGGAATGAAGACATACAGAAAACCCAATGAAGGAAACAATAATGGTAAAATATCACATCAAGAAAAAAATATTGTAGAAGCGGGGGTAATTGAGGTTGAAAATTCTTTCGTTAGTAGAATTAAACCTCAGCAAAGTAATGCTAACTACAATCAGAACCTGCAGTGTAATGAACAGTCTGGAAAAATATCGACTGAAAATGAACTTCGAACGCGGCAAGCCAGTGTAGGTGAAGTTCATGAGGCATTAGCGAAATTGAATTCATCTAAAAACTCACCGCCAATTATGTGCAGTTTTTCAAGCCCCAGTGTTACCTCTCGTAGTGTTGCAACTTCAGACATTAGTCGTGAGGTTTCAACTTGTACACCAACATTCCACCAGAAAGATGGTCCTGATTCTGTTTTTATATCGGATGATAAGCCTGCTGAAGAAATGTCCACAGATACTTTAGTCGAAGCTACATTAAAATCTGTTTTACAACGTGAGGAACAATCTGCAATGAAAGTTAGAAGAAACTCAAAGGAATTATTTGAAAAACGGAATATGGTATTAAAGATGGAAAAACCACAATATTTAGACTCAAAAATTGAGGAGAAACCTAACACAAATATTGAAACAGGTAGTCATTATAACTCTTTGAAACGGAAACAGCACCTTAGGAGAAGAAATTCTTGGGGTTCGTCCTCAGATGTAAGTGTCCCGCAAACTCCTTCATCTCGGCGGAACTCACTCTCCGAATTGGACACGTTTTTTGAGCAGATGGGACTTGATGATAACATCCTAGTCACCGTGCAATCTGAACATGAACTTGATGACGTATTCCATACAATGTACATGGAAGCGCTCAACGATGACAATCAAGACGCTGACTCGGATGTTATGTCGGAAGGCAGTCGCGTCAGTGAGAGTGGATTGACCAAGAAACTGAAGAAAATTCCTGACAACACTTCATCGATTATTACACGCAACGCCAAAGTCATAAAATGGCTGTGTCAGTGTAAAAAAGCAAAGACTCAACTTTGAAACAGTCACACATTTTTTTAGGTAAGCTATATTTTAAATATCTCTCATATTTTAGTTTTTTTCGATCGTTACTCAAAGATTCATTAAGTGCAGTTTTTGATGGATGAATATTAATTTTAGAATTGCATTTTCATTGAGAAAAGTTTCAACATTTCCGAACAGTTGTACTGCATTCTACATTATTCTTAGAAAACTCAAGGTACTGCACATTCTCCATAAAATAGTTTAATCAACAGCCAAATACAGTTTATTTTATGGTAAAGTTTTATTCATGTTTTTAATACTGGTATTTGTGGAACAACAATGTTATTTCAGCCTATTTTTTTTTTTTTTTTTTGGAGGGGGATTGGGGTTGTCATCAGTCACCGTGCCCAATCCAGGGTAGTGTAACATTGCAAGGTTGAATTGAAGGTCTTATACCATATACAGTAGGTTGTACTTGAATGTCTACTTAATTTTAATTTTATTAAAATAAATTATGTATATAAACATTTGAGACATACTACAGTACTGTTTAATAAAAAATCTATCACTTTGGTTTGATGTAAAAATGCTGCACAACAAAGTTGTCCATATGACATTATACATTACAAGATTTCACTAGCGATTCTCATATTGGTAGTTAAAACTGACCAGTGGAAACAAAACTGAGTCAGTCTTAGTTGACTGGCACTAAACAATAAAAACTAAAAACAACATGAAAGTGGTATATATCTCAACTGACATGCTATAACGCTGACCAAAATATTCTATGAATGAAATAGATCACGTTCTGGTTGTAAAACATAGTATGGTATAGTAGTTTATTTATGTAAATATACTGGTAGAAATTGATTATAATGCTTGTAAATCATCTTGTATTGTTTCTTTTCATGGGTATTTAGGTCAGGAATATTGTAATATAAGTAAACGATCGGAGTACACATAAATTGATCATCAATAGGGAAGACATATGTCTGTACTGAGTAGTAGTTAGTCCATATTTTTTCTGTATCAACGTTGTTTTGGACATTTCCACTTGGTTGAAATTTTGGAATGTTAAGTGTGCTGAATCAATTCAGATTTTAATGACACTGTATACTGTACCCTCCTTTTGCAAAATTCTGTATTATTATCTATTTTGAAATGAAAAGCAGCACAATTGTTAGGCAGAGCATCTGCCCACTGTTCTGTGTTCTATTGTGTGTATCGTAGACAGAGTCAAGCAACTGTGTATTTTTTGTTTAGTGAATCCTTATAATAGGAGTGATACTAGTAATGCTCGTGGCTATGCCAATGACATGTTCCAAACCAACTTTTAAGTACTGTACTGTATGTGTACAGGTTTGTGATGGTGGTTAGGAGTGTGTTCCCGTTTAGCTAGGAACTCTGTCCATAATACAGGAAATCAGTAATCTCCGATGAAAGTCACATTACAACTGAAGGATCATGTAACTTCCCCTCTTTATCGTTATTTAGTTAGTGGTGGAGCGAGGGGTTGTTAGCCCAGTGTTGTTTTACATTTAATATGATAGTTTCTTATATCAATTATCATGTAGTAGTACAGTATTTGGTAATTTGCATTTTTTTTTAGAATACAATTTAGATGAAAATATTCCCTTGTTCTGAATACATTTTATTAATAATTTCTCCCCAAAGCTTTTCATCGGCCTTTTCATTTAGATTTGATAGGTTTTCTACATTTTAACATAAAAAAACAAATGTCTAATTTCCATTTAATGTTTGGTAAGTAAAATTTATGTGCTTTCAGATAGGGAAAAAAGAGTTAAAGAAGTATTGAAGCATTAGGATTGAAGGAGGGGCCCAGCCACCTCCTCTGACGCCCTAAATTTTTGAACATTAAAAACAAATTATGAGAAAAAAAAAGAAAATATTATACTAAAGTTTAAGTCAGATACTGTAATAATAGTGCCATTTTCAGCCATTCCTTGATCTGCCACTGTGAAGTATAAAAGAATATTACTAATGAGAAATAATTAAATCATAAGGTGAATGAATACCTGTACATGAATTAATTTATAATTATGATTAAATAATTGAATGGACAGCCCAAAATAGAAATAAGTGAATGCATGAATTTTTTAGTTTTTTGACAGAGTGAATTTATTATGTATTTTATTCATATTTGTTGGCTTTTTGTGAGTTCAGTATGTACCGTTATGTATTACTGTAAGTTATTTATTTTAAACTTATAAATTATATCGTTTATTTATCCTTAAATGAAATAAATTGTATTTATTTTATTTTCTCATTTTTTAGTTGTTTTATGATCAACTAGCACTTAGGCTTGACAATTTTATTATAAATAAATGATAATGTAAATTAACACTAATGGAAAGCAAAGCAAATTTACTAAACCCATAAACCATTTTAATGTTTGATATCTTTCTTGGTTTATACTGTAGTCATTTTTAACAGTATTTTTTTTTTTAATAAAAGCTAAAAAAAATGAAACAATGGACAGGATATTGACAGTTTTTTTATCAGATGAGAAAAGGGAAATACATGATTGGAGACAGGTAAAATTAATTGGGAATTGCATCCTGAATATCAGAGGTCGTTTGATATCTGTGCAACTAAAGAACAGTCCTCAGACTCGGCCATGAGAAATCATTTTCTTTTGCTATTGGAATTTATCCGTTATGATTTTGGTTTTGCCAATTCAATCCTTGAAAATATTTTTAGGAGAATGTACTGTAATGATTCTTCTCATTGATTAAAATTAACATAAAAACAATTTATTAATGAACTGTAGGCCTACATGTAGTTCTTGATTCAATTTCCAATGCTTATCACAAGGTGTGTTCATATATCATTCTTGATTATGAGATCTACTTGACTAATTTTCGCTCCTTTTTATTTCTTATTCTTTGTGTAGATGATTGCATTTGCTATGTAAATCAGTTTGTTGTTCATTTCCTCTGAGCCGTTTTAGATGTCCTTTTTTTAGTTTTTTTCCCAGCCTTGGTGCATAGACTTTAGAGAGAGAATGGACAATCATGCATTGTTTCTAAACAAGGAAGTTTACTTATATCTTCTAAAGAAACCTTGTTGAGGACTGTTTCCAAAGACATAATCTTGATATTAATTTCCTCTACTGACAGGGTGTGGCTTGTTGGTAGAAAGGTGGCCGAATTTGAAATTTCGCCTATTATATATACTGTTCTAACTTTTATTCCTTACACCTTTCAAATACCTTATAAAATAATTTAAAAATTCTTGAAAAAAAGTTTAACATAAACAGAGAAATGCAGAAAATATAACTTTTTTTATAAATTGTGTGCATTTTGAAATACAGTTAAATTGATAATACTGTAATAGATTAATTTTTCCTTCTGCAATTTTTATATTCAGTTGGTCTGTGCATGGGCATGGTCTGTGCAATTATCATTCATATCCGAAATTGTATTTTTTATTTCTTGTTAGTTTTATGATAATTGTTCGATCAATGTTTTGCTTGTGTACCGAACAGCAGTATATTGCAGTGATGCATACAACAGAAGGCTAATGATATATTATCCATAATTGTGTTTAATGCAATAAATCATATATAATTAGGCATGCACAGAATGCAGTATGGCCTGTCATAATCCTAGCTTCACTCCATTTTAAGCCATATTGTAGACAAAAGTCTAGGCCTATATCAGATTTATCCATTGTACTGTACTGTAATACTTATGTATGTATGGCTGAGTGCCACTGAATACCTGACTGTATACAGTGTGATTGAAAGGTCATAATCTGAATACTGTAGTTTCACTGCCTGGAAAGCAAGGAGGTATAAAAGTCAGGTTTGTGACTGAAAGCAGAGCATATTTTGGTGTCTCTTGCCCCTATTTTAGAATCACCATTGGGCACCAGACCACCTCAGTGCATTCCTAAATGCCTGAAACAATACCTGTAGGGTTAGGTTAGACACACTTTGGAATGTTTTCACGAAGCCTGGATTTTTTTTTTTTTTTTAAGGGAACACCCTTCTGAATTAATACATTCCTAATTTGTTGTGACAACAAAATCAGCACTCAGTCAATCAAATCAGGATTCAGTCAATCAAATTAGCACTCCGTCAATCAAGAAGCTGACTGCACCCCTGCTAGCATTCTAAAGCAAATCCTGATTTAACCAACTGAAAATTAAATATTTATTCAGCAGAGTGTTTATGAATTAATTTAATAAATAGTGTTATTAAGTGCACTATGATGTTTTTGTGATTTCCAATCTTGGTTGATAATTTAATATCAATGAACATGGACTTGGGCAATGGAACACTCTTTATCAATTATGATAATTACGTTGTAATGATCCGAGTTCTGTAATAGACTGTTTTTGTTTTTTTTTTGTGGTGACAAGCTTTTGTATTATCTACAAACTGTTCAAAATTCATTATCAGAATAATATTTTAAATATAATTATTATTACCCAGGACATTTGAATTTTGTAATAATTCAAGAAGACGTGTAGCATCTAATCTAATTTGATATTATTGTATGAATACATGGATTACAAAGAATTCACTCTTTTTTTTTTACCATTTTATTTATTATTATTTTGAAATGTGTTGCCTTTGAATTATGTATTGCCTTTGAATTATGTATTGCATTCAAATAAAAAGATAATGGGATAGAAGAAAAGAGCTCATCTTCAAATTATCCTAATCCAAGGCATTATGATGCTGTCGCTAAATTTGGATGAAGTAATACATTTGCGACAAAGTAACGTCATAAGCATGCCCAAAGTTGGTAATTTTCAGAAATGAAATAACGTACTGTAAGAACACAAAACAGTTCCAAAATTATTTTAAATTGGTAAATTTCACCTGTAAAATTTACTGTAGACTAGATGCTTTAGTTCATGATTATGTCATGATTATGACATTATGTCCCAACTTTTGATTTGCTTCAACCAAAGTTCTGCGTTTTAATCCGGATCTTTTGACCTGCCTCTGATTTTTTTATTTGTAAATTTTTCCAAAATATCTTTAGCCTAATGCTGTACTGGCATTTTAAAACAGGAAACTAAAAAAAATTAATTATGAAACGCTATTAAACAAGGTGTTTTTTTATTTTCCCTAATCTACAGTACAGATCACCAAACATCTAGATGTTTACATTTTTGATAGGCTTCGATGGATAGATGACGCTTGATTTCTCTACGAGTAAATTCATCATTTAAATTTGTGTCAGTTACTGAGTACTGAACTGATTTTCCAAGGTTCACCATGCTGTATGATCCAAAAATTAAACTGTCTGTTGTTAGTAATAATAACTTGTCTATGTGAACTTCCTAAGGTTCACATTTTTTCCAGTACCATATGTGATTTTAACTTGTCTAGTGAACTTGATGTTGTCTGGATCGAAGTCATGAGTTACAGATTATTTCTTGTCATGTTGTGAACCATGATCCTAATTAAATACACCTACATTATTGTGATTAATTGAACTCCAGATGTAGTAAAGGGGATGTACTTAATACACCTTTGCCATATTTTTCATTCTGTGTATTTTTTTTAAATATATTCCTCAACCTGGTGTAATTAGTTTGAAGATGATGTTTGTTAGCAATTTATCATTCAGTGTTTTCATCAGTACCAATATTAAAATTCTTCTACAATAGTAAACTGACAATACTGTAGCTATTGTAATCAAATATAGAAGAAACAAATATAATAATGGAAAAATAAAGTAAGGTACTGAATTGTTTATGCATCTCAAGATAAGAGAACCAAAAGATGAAAAAGTGCATTGCACTACCTTAATTTTCAGAACATGTTCAATGTTAAACATCAGTATCCCAATAACACCAGAAATAAAAATCATTGTATTAAAAAATTGGATGATCATAGACAATAGCGTCACTTTGTGAACTCAATTGGTCCCAGTGGATGTCAGATTATGATGTTGGCCGTCGAATATTCCAATTCTAGCGAATCCATTAGCTGATGAACTAAAGACACTAAATCCAAACTAAGCATATTCACATGGATTTTCTAAGCGTTCTGATTTGTTTTTCGTGTATTTATTTAAATTTTTGTTGTACGTGTCATGGGAATTCAGAGAATAGGCCTATTATTTATCAGGCTAGGCCTACAAAAGGAGTTAATTTTGTGTTGATCAAGTTGATCAATATACATTTAACCCCTCTTTTGTCTCTAAAATCTAGAATATTTTAATTCTTTGGTGAAAATTATAAAACCCCAGATTAGTGATCTTTTAACAAATTTGAGGTTTACTAGTTTCGGTTCAGTTCTTTTTATTTTTACCACTGTTTTTTAAAATATGTAATGGAAGTCTTTGATAGTATTGTGTGCTTTAATTGTTTGAATAACTCAAGCAGTTTGTGAATCTGTTTGATTCCCGGATCTGAACAATGGTGCTGTAAGGAAAACCACGAAGCTACAAACCAAAACCTTTTGAAGTGTAACAGATATGGATGCTATACTTGTGTAATGACCTTGCGTTGGATTTGGCCTGACCCTGGTCATGGCCGCTAGGAGTACAGTACTGTAGCCTGCAGCTAGACAGGTGAGGAGGTGCTTACTACCAGGATTAAGTAATGGTCGTAATCACATTAGGCCTGCACTAATACCTGTACCATAAGGCCATATAAAAAAAAAAACAACAGTTGATCGTCCTAGATTTTTCACAAAAGGAAGAAAGAGGCTCTTTTTATTTTTTATTTTCTAAGACGCTTTACCGTATTTATTTGAAACGCCACCCTCACCCTCAAAACACTAAATCAGTTTAACATGGTATCTAGAAATTCAAATAAATACAGTTGCCATCTTTTGATAAATAATGTGCACAACAAAACCAAACTACTGTAAACACTTAATTATTATATGAATAAAATTTGTGCCAAAATATTAAATAATAAATAAATCGATGCGGCCTAAAAATAGAATGCGGGCGGGGATGATCAACTACTTTTTTTTTTATATGGCCTAATAAAAAAATTTTAAAAAGCAGATAGAATTTTAATATTATAAGAGTAATACTTAATTTTTCTCTGTCTGTTTTCTTAATTTAATATTAAAAGGGAGTTTGCTAGAATCGATCTGTAGATTAGGTGAATAGTACTGTAGGTAGGTTCAAACCACAAAATACATACATTTTTTTCACCTAAAAAATACTGTCTTGCTAAAGATTCAAAAATGTGGTTTTAACCTGTGAACATGTGTAGCTCCTACCTGTTAAATTTGAAAGCAATAACGATCACAAATTTTATTAATATAAAACTTGCCAATAAGCCTACAGAAAGATAAAAACTACCTACTGTATAAACTAATATATAATGGGTTGAGTCCTGTAGGAGGAAGCGTTTGGCAGAGCGATTGAGGCTCAGACTCCGAACCTTACGGGTAGGGGTTCGAAACTCTAGCAGTGTAAATCGCTTGTGTCCTTGGGCAAGAATCTACGTTTGCCACTTTCTACCCCGGAGTATAAATGGGTACCGGCATATGCTAGGAAGGTACCGTGTCAGACACACTGCGAGGAGTGGCAAACTCAAAATTTGTAGTCTGGCCCCAACGCTTAAGAAAGAGAGATGGGCAATCCAGACCTGTACAGGTTCGACTAACATTCACCCCAAGTTACAGTACTGTTCAACTGTTGTATGATTAGACATCATTTTCTAATTGTAGATGCAGGAATATTCATCTAGTGAAGTTAAGATTCAAAGTGAAATCCAGGGTAGTCTTATCGCCATGGTATTATCCAGTATAACACTATTAAAGAAACACTGGATCCAGGTGTGAATGGTAAATTAAATCACAAAAGGTGTTGAATGATTTTAACATCTGTTATACAGGTGTGGTGACTCATTTGTGGGCACAAACAATACAGTACTACATAATAAACAATACTCTACCATAACAATATATTTCATTGAATTTTCTCTTGAGTTATTAAATTATATTTCAGTACACAAGATTTTTTTTTTTTTTTTTTTTTTTTTTCTAGCAATAAAAATACATTTTTCGGTTTGGGGGGGGCTGCCATCTCTACTGAAAAGAAGTCCTCGGCCCGGAGGCCCTTGTTCCCAACACCAATGACTGAAACTACCGACAGTAGTAACTCTGATAAATTCAGAGGGTAGAGCTTTCCAACAGGGAGCCAGACAGTTTCCGGTAGAAGGCAGCGGGCTGCCATGCTTTGGTTAGAGCTAAAAAGCAAAATCCTGGTGTTCAGGTAGCGAAGAGTCTTCACCCCCAGCACTTACAGTAAAAGTGCCCAGTTATCCCAAAGATTTGTTTTCTAACTTTATCTGGTCCAATGAGACATGGCTAACAGGAACCTCGCCATATCCGACAGGCCTGGGGGAATAAGCTCTATGCCTTCCCTTCCCTCTCACTGACCCAACAACCACTGGCTGCTGACTGTTTATGAAGAAATTCTCACTGTTTTCAAGCCCGTAGCCAGGGGGGTTCGTTGGGTTCGAGGGAACCCCCCTTTTCATGAATTGCCCTTTCAACAAAGGCTGGCTAGCCTACACCTTGGGCCTAGCCTAGAGCCTATCATCATTTAAAAAAAAGTCCTACTTTAAAACCCAATTGTTACGCCTATCTAGTAATATAAAAAAAATAAATGAAAATATGGCATTTTCAACCTTTACATTTAATCAGTACAACCGTGTAGGGCTAACCGCCAAAAATAGGTACAGGGCAGGGCAGCAGCAGCAGAGCGTATCACCAATCTCCCCGATACGATCGTCAGTCACCATATATTATATTACTATGGATGCAATATTTTATTGTGCAGTATGACCATTTAGGCACCAAAACCTTGGATAGTTTCACACCTGTATATATAGTAATAATATACTACAATACAAAACATATTAGTAAATCATTATATTATATTGACTGTGGATGCAATATTTTATTGTGCAGTATGACCATTCAGGCCCCGAAACCTTCAGAAATGCCGGGATGGTGTCCGACGGGGGATAGTTTCACCTGTATATATATAATAATAATCGGGATAATAATACACTACAGCCAACCATACAAATTTGTTTCGGTTCTTTTTATGTTAACTGATTGTCTTGAGTGAGTACAGTATAATGCAACTGTACTATAAGCCATACAGTACTTCTTATTTCTTAAAAAGAATAAAAATAAAGAATAAACCATAGGCCTACTGGTTTCTTTGGAGTTTGTATCATGCTACTGTAGGCTCTTGTTAATTTACCAGTACTGTAGTACTAAACTAGTAGTTTTTGTTTTTTGTTTTTTTATCTTTGCCTAACTCAAAAAATTACCTCTTTAATTTATACATTTAAAAAAAATGTATGGCCTCTCAAATCATAACACCTGTAAATGTCTAGAATGCTGGAGCTTCCTGGGGCTTCGCCCCCTGGACTCCCACCGCGCCTTTTCCCCTGGACCCCACCGGGGGCCCGTGGCGGCACCCTGGCCCCCAGCCAATGGGGCTCGCTTCGCTCGCAAGTGCCCTTTTACTGTAGTATCAAAAAGAACCCCCCTATAAAAATCCTGGCTAAAGGCTTGGTTTTATGTTTTCCCAAAACTACTGAGATCTAAATTAAAGTAATGTGCAAAGATGACTTGTAATATTCTATTATTATAAGGTGTATCATGTATGTGTCTTCATGATGTGGCTTTGTAATTCTCAATACTGATAATGTTTACCTTTATCTCATAAAAAAATAAATAAATAAATAAAATAAAATTTTCTACAAGGTGTTATATTTCTTAAATATGTGAAATGTCATCATGAGTGTCCAGAATGTGGGCTCATGCATACAAAATGAATACATGTACTCCTTTGTTGTTGGAAGTTCTATTGTTTTTTTGGTTTGTTTACATCATCCTATGTGACTCATACGTGACTGTGGTTTTTAGTTAATTTATTATTGTATTAGTTGCTACTATTCCTCCCTGGTTTTAAAGGTTTTAAATGAAGTTCAGGTTAAGCCAGTGCCACTGATACAAAGTAAATAAATAATGGTGATATATTAATTATGCAGGCACTTTTCCAAGAATTCTTGCTTTCTTAAGTACAGTACCAGGAAATGTTGATTGAGTTGACAGTAGATGTTTACTAATGAAGGCAAGTAATTAAAAGATGTATGAGGTTACATTATCAAGATAGGACTGTAGTGTACATTTATGACTCGTTTCAAATTACTTCCTTTGGCATAACTTTGTGTGTTAACTAACTATGAGGTAATTAATATCTAAGAAGGATTAGTTTTCAAAGAATTGTAATTGCGGTTGATGACATGGATTGTTATTAGACTTATTGCAGAAATTTTATTATAAAAAGTTCAAATGCCCATCACAATAAAATTGACACATTTACATATTTACAATAAATATAACAGAAGAAATATGTAATTTATATTTTATAAAATACCTGTGAACTATGGAACCATCAAAATAATATTTAATATTATAAGTCTTTCTACCCTTATGTGCCCTTCTTAAATGTTTAAAAACATAAAATACATATTATTAATGTTTAATTACCAGCATTTAATATGTAGTTCAAGCTAGAGTATTTGATGATAATTTTTTTACCTGTAATAATAATCATTTGCTTTTTTTAATAACTTGAAGATGAGCTTTCTTTATTTACAACACCAGCATGCACACTATATCACCATGGCAGTGATGAATACTTTAATAAAGTGTTTTCAATATTTGGAATTGCTTGCTAAAACTAATGTTTTTATGTGTGCTTCATTGGAAGCTTCTTGATTTACCCTAGTACATGGAGCATTCATCATTGAAAATGTCTCCAGATTTATCACAGTGGCATAGAATATCATCAATAATATTGAAATATTTATAGTCATATTTTACTATAAAACCGGGCTGATTTTATTGAATATTTAGTATTCTTGTGACACAGTGTGTGTATTATATATCTGTCTCTTATACACATCTAGATGTGTATAAGAGACAGCTATTAAAGAGCATTTCCTAGTCATCTTTCCTTGTTTCAATAATTCTTTTTTTGGTAGCATCAGTAGTATAGAACTTTCGTTTATTAATGTATGCATGGACAAGAAAAGAGTGTATTGTATCACAGTACAACCATATATTATGCTTCCTTTATAATTCATATTTTAGTATCATATTTAAATAATCGGATTTCCTTTTAATATCACATAATACCTTTATACCACACAGGTAGTTAAAATGTTTGGATGAGTCACAATTTATATCAAACAATACCTTTTGTTATTTATTCAAAAGAGGTGCGTTCTATTATCTTCAGGTTATCATAGCCACACCCTAGTCATTATACAATGATAGTCTTGATAATTAACTTTATAGCAGGCTTTTAAAAGGTTGCACATAAATTATAATTTATCAACAAAGGCTAGACATGAAATACAGACAATGGGAAATGGATATTTCAGGATGTTTATTTCATGAATTAAATCCCAATGAGAACATGCCTTTTTAGTGCATATTTTTAAGTGTTAAATTTTGAACATATATATTAATTTTCTGATTGATTATTATTTCGTGTCTACGATTTCTATACCACCTACT